GAATTTTAACTAACTAATCCTGCTACTTTTTAGGAAATGTCTGGGGAAAATTTTGGGAAACTCATAATGTTTTTTTTTTGTTATTTATTTCATCATAGTAATATAAATTCTTCTTTCTCATGTTTTATTATGTTTATTTATATACTTACAAAACATGTGTAAACATAGCTACAAAAAAATTGTCAAGACATTTTATGACATTTTCAAGTACTTTGTACTAAGACTCACATAATTTTTATATATTGTAACGTCATTTCCTGCCCCCTAAAGGTTGTACTCCATAACGCACCTTCCTTCAGGTGGGAATCCTAATTAGAACCATCCCTGGGAGACTACAACTACTTCACCTAGGGCGCAAAGTTATTTTTATTCACCAGAATAACTAAACTGGTGTAACTTTAACTAATACCAACTTAAATCTAAACTCAATATCTCAAAACTTACTAACTAACTCAAAATTCACAGAAAAATTTCAAAATCTCAATACTTAAAACTAAACCTTAAACTTATATCTAACTTAACTAAGATGGTTCTACAAAATCAGGATCCTCCTGAACAGGGCATGTCCTGGTCCTTAGTTGTGTAGCTTGTGGAGAGAGGTCGTGTCCGGCCAACAAAATACGAATAAATGAAAGAAATAAAAAAACAAATCAATAAAATTAACTAACGGGATGAGTTGAAGGTCCCCAAACTGCAAAAAATAAACTGACAGGTTCACCATTAACTTTACTTTATCGAACTTCCTTAACTGTATTTGTTAAGAATTAATTAATTCTCAGTTTGAATTTGCCAGCTGACAGGAACTTCAGCGGCCATCTTGGGACTGGGTCGATAACCAATCGACCAAATAATCAATAATTCTTGATCTAGTTACTCATTTGACTAATTTTCAGTGTCCTTTTTGACTAATGAAGTTCCTGTCGCCATTCTTTCACTGTTCTTGTTCACGTGTACACGCCATTCACATTCTTTCTTAACAAATTTGAGAGTTTTGAGTCAATCATCAGTACTAGCGCTACTGTAAATCATCAGAAACATTCAAGTTGTAGTCTACAATAGAAAGAGTTCAAGACAATTCAATGTAACTTCGAGTATTTTAACTTAATTCATCTTTTGCATTGCATTGATAGGCTAACGCCACGTGCTCAATCACATCTTCTTGACTTGTGAAGCGTGTTGAGCTCGTGTGGGAGGTCAATAACACCAAATACACCAAGTTAAGCATTTATCAGAAATTCAATGAAAATTCAGTAAATCGAAATTGACATTCAGTGATTTCGAGCGATATTTAATCTTCCTATTCAGTAACAAAAAGTTTGTCAGTGTATTTAGTGTACCTGTTAGTGCTGAAAATAAAGATACTTTATTTATTATAAAACCTGACTTCTGTTTGCTCTGTATCGGCACAATCATTCCTATCCTTAAACGGTTAGGTTAAATTCACAAGTTGAGATTTTCTCAACAACGTGATTCTATACAATTCAAAATCTTGAAAACTAAAAGTCCGTCAGTCAAATATTTAATTTTTAAATCAACTTCATTACAACTTCACTTCAATAATATTTCCTTGAAGACATGCCAAAACTAAATTCAATAAATCTCATATTAAATAAATGTTCGAATTAATCATTAAATCATAATATATATTTTTTTTTAACACAAATATATTGTATTTTTACAAACTTGCAGTTACTTATATAATAAAATGTTTTAAATAATGGTTGAACTAAGGTTGAAACGGATGTTACTTATTTCTGATGTATCTTTGAAACACTGCTATAATTTATATTAAAAACGAATGAAAAAGAATGAATTTTAAATATATGTTAATATACAAAGAGTAACCTAATATTGCAGATATCTGAATAAAATGTCGATTTAGAAAACTTATCATGAAATTTCAATGATACTAATCTACGTGCAAAAACTTATGAAATTCCATGCCATTGACATTTTTTTTTTGTATTTTAACTCGACACATACATCTTATTATCTGTTAATTGATGTATATACCGCGGCTTATAATGATGTAAATTTTTATGTAAAACAATACCCCACTGTGACGTATATTTTACCAAAAAACAAAAAAAATGCATATGATCTCTAAAACATTCAGTTTATAATTTAATAACATAAATTCTACAGACAATCTATCGAGGTCATTTACTATAATGTATTCAATTTTACCAAATTGAATTAAAATATTTTCTTCGCAAACAACGATAACCATGTCATTTTGAAAATATATGCCATTAATTGTTACTGATTAAAATGAATGATAAGAATCGACGAAGTGATTCTTATTTAAATGCGCTCGAATATCATCATAGTTTTGTAGTTGATCAAAAATGATCAGAATACTTTGACTGTAAACTATTCTGTCTTAGAATCCTTTTCTGCCTACTAGTCTATATGCAAAACTAATTGGATTTTTTATTGCTAACGAATAATAAATATTTTTTCTGGACCGAGTAACATGAGCGTTTTCTTTGAACTTTTTATGTTTTGCCCCGAAACGCAAGTCTGATAAAGAATTCATAAGTCCGTTGTTCAAAATTAACGTGAATACACTAAATTTCTCTTAATGTTCAATATAATTTCTATGATTGATTTTTTTCTGGTATTAAATTTCCTATAGTTAAACCCAAGTTTTCTCATAAAAATTTCATTTCAGTTACTTGGTGTGATTATTGGAACATAGCCAGATTTTTTAACATTACCAAAATCGAAAAATTTTATTTTGTTATTGAAATTTTCAAGAGTGAATAATTTATCAATTTCAATGAGATTTTTCAAAATTTTACAAATTTCATAATGGCAAACACCTTCTAATATATTGTAAAATAATAGAATGAGAACAACTATTATTAAAAGTTAGTTTATTAAAAATAACAGATTCAAATGCAGAATCAAAGACAAGACGTCTAATGTTAGCTAGTCTCAGTCCTATACTGGAGATAAACAAACTCTCCCCTCGTTGCTATAAACAATCTAATCATCAAGCAATCGCCGTTAACTAACAAACTGTCGTTAGTCAATCCATTTATAGATGGACACACATATATTTTACACTATCATGCATTATATCACAATACGAATTTTCAGTAATATGAAAATTTGGAATGTTATGTAGAACCGAATCTGTTCAATACCACGATCTGAATTTTGTACATCTTTTTCAAAATTAACTTTAGTTCTAAAATACTTGGTATCTTCCGTTATTGCAGTTTGTGAAATTTGTTTATCAGCATAACATATATGACAATGATGATTAGAATTAAAGCTTTCATGAAAGCCAAAAATGGTGTGTATACCTAGATTATCAAAATCACGCAAGGGTTGTGATTTGTGAAATTGAACGAGAAAAATATTTTCAACCATTGAAGTATATTGTTGAGGAATTGTTAGTAATTTACAATAAATAGCGCAAATTTTGTTTACTCCTTTGTGTGAACTTATAGGATTATTAATCTCTAAGTCGTCGAAAAACAACATAAGTGGTATAACAAATTTCCCTGCGAATTTTGCTTTTAATTTTGTCCATAATTCTCTATTTAAATATGATCATATTTGATCTTGTCTTTCACAATTCTCCATGTCTGCTTTAATAGTATCGTAAACATTTGTTAATTCTAAAAATCGTTTTAAAGTTTGTCGAAGTGATATAAATTAACTGGTTACATTTTTTACTGTGATTGTTGTAACGTTATTGATTTTTTTCTTACAGCTCTCTGAACTTATGAAAAATTTAATCGGCCGAATAAGGAAACCAGCCTCTTCAAAATATTTTTCGCGCTTACACTCGGTTTTTAAACTCTCAAACGGATTTGAGAGTATTTGCAACATTTCTTGTGTCTCAAACTCATTTAAATTCTTAGAAACATCGGTGCTCATTTACCTTAATATATCTATAAAACCTGATTTAAATAATTCTGTAGTATTTGTTATTATATCTTGAATTTCTACTTCCCAACAAACGCTCTCGACATTTCGGTTACAACATTTTTAAACTCACTAATGCTAGGTTTTGGTTGAATATCATTTATACATGACGATGGCGATTCTAATATTTCATTCTCATGTAATGTCGGTAAAACAATAATATTACTGAAGATTGGCTTATTTTTTAAATCAAATTTATTTGTAAATTTTTTCATTTTTAAATGTTTTTTAAGGTATAGAAATTGTTAAAAACTCTAAAACAATTACATTATTCACAAGATTTAGGATCATACATAGTACCTGCATGTTTTAGTTTCATATGCATTGATAAAAGCGTTATAGTTTTTTCTATATGTTTCAACGTGGACAAATGTACGTCATTGTAACAAATGTAGTTCAAAATTTATAACGTCTAGCTCTATATATATTTAAAATACCTTTGGTTAATAAAAAAATGTGATTATACATTTATAAATCATAGTCAAATGGAATATTCAATGCATTAAGCAACTTTAACATTGTTATTTCGAAAATTTGAGGAACTTTGGTTTTTAAATCTTTTAACGATAACTATAACTAATGGCATTCAATATTATCAAATTTTAATCATAAAATTTTCTATTTTGTAGTTTTTTCACTTAGTTCTAATTGCTTAACTACTCGTCAAACTACTAGGTGCATCAAATTTAGTATTCACTTTAAATAATAATTGCAAAACATGCATTATATGTTTGGATGCATGGGGATATTCTGCGTGACGAACATGAAAAATTTGAAAAAGTATCTGTAGTGATTTTAAAAGATATTCAAAAATATAACGTACTTCATCTATAACTGGTTATGCCGTGGATAGTTTTCAGGAGTTTAATTAATTTGTAAACACAAATTTTATTTTAAGAGATCACAAATTTATTAATTCACTTAAACTTAGTTACACTTAACTGGTTTACACTAATATTATAGGTGAACAGTTATTTCAATTGATCATTGAATACTATTATCTTATTGATTATATTCTATTTCTCATCCTTCTACTGATTCTAATAGTTTTTGTTTCTACTTCGATCAAGGCTTCCTTTCTACTGACTAAAAAAAAATATGAATGAATTATCAAATATAAAAGTAGTGCATCGTGAAGGTGTTACTGCGCCTGAGAAAAAAAATTGAAATAGCTGCTCTGAGTCTCGAGACATAGGCGGACGGACATCACCGTCAGCATAATTCCAGTACAAGAATGATGTGAGGTAGTCGCGGCGTAACAAACTATACCATAGTTAACTATTTCTTTTAGTGTTCGGCCAATAGCCACAATGTACAGTTGTACGGTGATTGATTTCGAAACTGCATCATCTATTTTCTTCTCGTGAATATTCAGCACTTCATCTGCATTCTAACAAAATTTTTTTGAACATTAAAATATCACATCAGAATTTTCCAAGAAAAATATCGTTTTATTATTACTTTTGAATGTACAATCACGCTTGATTAAAATTCCAATATTGTGGGTTTATAGATAAATTTATGATTCCCTTTCTTTTGTGTAAATGTATCATGAGGTGGTAATATGTATGACAATAACATAATTTGGACCAGTATTCTGGAATCTATAATTCAAAAAAAAGCAACAATATTTTTTTCATATTACAAACAAATAGTTTTTATACAATCTTGCATTAATTAATCTTTTTTCAACTTACAATCGGACATTTCTTCGTCTAACAGTGACGTTAAAAATTTGCTTTGCTTAAATTATTCTTGTTTATTTTTGGATAAAGCCGACTAAAAAATGACTCCCATGCTTTATATGCGTCAACCTCTTTCTTATTATATAGCTCAGCAAAATCTATACTGATGAGGGCATGTCCTGACGAGTTTTGTAAAACCGAGTACTGATGTATGTAATCATCTATTGTACCGTTTTTGGAAATAAGTTTTTTATAACGTATTTGAGATGTCCTCTCCCAATGTTCAGTAACTTGGTCCCATGGATTCGTGTTGTGTTTCAGCCAATTTAAACGCTCTTTAATATCAGCTAAAGACAATCAACTATTACTAAAAGGTTAGCCTTAAACATTCTCTAAATATTTCCACGTTTATGCCAGTGAAATATTAATTTAAAAAAAAATGAATTGAGCTTGATAATTATGTTATTTTACCTTTCATTTGAAATTAAATTTAATTTCTGTTTTTTTTAAAAATTGCACATAGTATTCATCCAGTAATCATTATTTATTCAATAGCTGGGCATTTAATTATTGAATTGTTATGTACCAGAGTACACAACATTTTTGTTAAAATAAAATAAAATATATTAAATTTAAAAAAGAAAAAGAAACAGTAAGCAGAGGAAAGTCAGGTAAAGAAAAATCAGTGAGTGAAGTCAGACTTGAAGGCACCAAGGGGAAACTCAAGGACGCTAGGTGGACAGACAGGTGAAGGAAAGAAGAGAAAGCGGGCGAAAAGGCAGTTCAAGAGGCCCGCACGTGGATAGCTTGACTAAAGGAAATTTGGATATTCAAATCTACCGGATTGGCAGAAAGAACATTAAAGCTACCACCTCCAGCTTTTCAGAGGGGTTGGAACCCTGGATAAATAGTCCAGATTTTCCCAAGGAACTTCAGTCTCTGCTGAATTTGCTTGGGGCAAATTTTTGAACTGTAGTCAGAGAAAATATATATACGTGAGCGAACGAGCGAAGTCGAAGTCTACGAGTAAGAGAGAGAGGTGCGGTACGGCGAGGGAGCCCAAGCGGCTGTAAATCAACCAACCAGGGAGCCTAGCCGAGTATCTTCAGGCAGCACTACAACCTGCTACTCACCGACCTGCTGAACAGCGCTTCAACTTTCTGCTACCTATCAATTTCACCCTCGTAAAACAATTTCTGTTCAACTAAAGTGAGTAAAAGCTAATAAAGATTATCTGTAATAAAAAGGAACAACTCTCTTCTTCATTTGTTGCACCATAGTGGTTTGCCAGCACTGATTACCTTACCTATTTCTTTAATTTTCCATCTAAAATAAACTCTGCGAGGTCTCCGCACCCGAGTGGAGTAGAAGGCGATTGTGTCTTGACTCAAAAAAGAGACCGTTCTGTTACGGGGACGTAACTCAAATAAAATTTTGGTGTCAGAAGTGGGATAAATTAGAGAAAAGCCCAGATGGAAATTAAAGAAATAATGTTGTAAATACTTCTTTCATATGATATCTCGTTGGACTCTTTCCGAGCACGAATATTGTCATTTCTTTTATATGATATAAAAAAAAAATAGAAGTGGAGTTAAACTTGATCAAATAGTTTACTTGAATATTTAGCAGAACGTATGGTATTTTCGGTTAATTACAAAACGTGTTAGTTCAGCTGTAATAAAAAAAAAATGTATAAATAAGTCATGATGGAATAAAAATGAATAAATAACAAAATGCGCAAATATGATCGTTGTTCAGTGGTAGAACTTTACTAGATTCTTTCTTAAAGAGAGGTGAAGTATCTTTTATTTCTCTAAAAACCTTTTTGTAAACAAATTTTCGTAACTCATAAAATTCCTTTGGGGAAGTAAGAATTGAAGTACAATATTCTGTGTAATTTTTACGCTCGAAACCTGATCAACTTGGAGTGTAAAGGATACAAGGAGATTTCTACGGAAATTTTTCTTGCTATCATGGAATGTTGTAATGAATATTATTATAAATTAATTATTGGAATAAACTTTTTTCGTCTCATTGTAGAATACATAGTTGTCATAGCAATTCTGGCTAAGATTTTTACAAAAAGGTCATAAAAAAAAGGATTAGTAAAACACGGAAACACCTATTAACAAGCTTTTAATCCTAATCAAAGATCCCCTGAAAATTTGGTTGCGTGATTTTTTTTGGCTATTAAAATTCATTGAGGGGAAAAGGTTCCGTGATTTAGGAAAATTTCAAAATTTGGACATTAAATAGCGAGGGGAGGAAACTAATTGAGTTAAAAGCGTTTGGATCAGATAAGCCGGAAAATTGGGGAGTCACACGAGCCGCTGTTAAAGAATGATAGAATCAATAAGTAGAGATTACATATGAGGCTAACTTAGAGCAATCAATATTTTACACTTGATAAACTTTTATATTTTGAATAACGTAAAATCATTGATAGATTCAAAACGCAGATTTTTTGTTTAAGTTTTTCCTTTCTCTTGTTTGACTAGTATACTAGGTGAAGTAAATTCATGGAAAACAGTCAAACTGAGACAAATAAGTATTTAGACAGATAAAAATAGTGTAATCAAGCAAAGAATAAGAGTTAAAGCAAAGTTGATAACAATTAACATAAAATGTTAAAATAAAAGATTCTGTTAACTGGAAAGTGACATTCCAATGAAAAGGTTAGATTCACGAAAAGATTAGAATCACGAAAGAATTAGGATCGCGAAAAAGCTAGCTGACTAATTAGAAGCAATTTTTTTTTTATCAAGAGTGTCTGTAATGACTAAGGGGTTAAGAGCACAGCGTTTATTATAAGATGACAAATGCCGGACATAATACCGCGAACACCTCCTGGACCGAGAAATAGTGAAGCTGCAGGAGAAGGGAGATCAAGTTTAATTCCGCGAGATTTAAATCCTGAGTTTGAAGCTTTAGAGCGTGCGCGAATTGAGTCAGAATTGCAAGAGGAACGAGAAAGGCAAAGAGAGATATTAGAAGTAGAGTTGAGAAGAGAAGTTAACGAGGTACAGAATATAGAAGACAATAATCAAGCAGAAATGGCAGTGCAGGATCAGGGACTTTCAGTCTCAATAAAATATGCTCTTGAGGCAGTACCTGTATTTGATGGAAAGAGTACACCTGTTAGCCACTTTATTGAAGGGTGGCAAGAAGCAAAGAGGATGGTACCCCCAGCAAACGAACGTTGGTTAGTGCAGGTGCTAAGAAATAAACTTAGAGGGAAAGCGCGACGGTGTATTCAAGGAGTTGATTTTGCAAATGTAGATGAGTTAATTAAGTACTTGAAAAAAATGTTCATGCCGACGAAAACATTATTTGAATTGCAAGGAGAGCTCGGACGAATAGTACAAAAGGATGACGAGGGAGTTTTGACATATGCAAACAAGGTGAAAGAGTTGAGTAGTAAGATAGAAGAAATATATCGCGCAAATAATCCAAATCAGGAAATAGACAGGGCGACGATTGATAACTTGCAAAGAGAATTCGTTAAGTGTTTTATAAAGGGATTGAAACCGCCGTATGAGCAGCGAGTACCGCGAGACAAGAATCTAGCAGAAACGATAGATTTAGCTATAGCTACAGAGAAAGAGTTGAGAGCTATAGAGAGTCTACGGGAAAATAGTCAAGGAGGAAATAGCGGGAAAGATAGAAGAGACTACAGAAAACAATTTAACAGAGTGAATATTGTTGAATCAAATCCGGTAGTTTGCCAGTTGTGTAGCAAAAGAGGACATGAAGCGTCAAAGTGCTACAGTTTAAATAAAGGACAGGGCCCGTCCAGAGGCGAAGCTACTGATGGAAAGACCACAGAGGCAAGTAATTATAGAAGACAAAATTTTTATTGTGAAAATTGTAAAATGACCGGTCATACAAATAAGTATTGTCGAAAAGGAGGACAAGGGAGTCCTCAGAATTTTAGAAATTTTAGAAATACACCACAAGGTCCACAGAACTTTAATAAAAATAATTTTGAAAGGAATAAAGGCCCAGAGAGTGGTCGAAATTTTTATAGAGGAGGAAATGGTTCCCAGAATCAGGGAAACGGCCAAACCCTCCCGCGATACGGCGCGACGCGGGGCACGGGGCGAGTTGTGCGCCCGGTTCTGCATATTCAAGAGACAGCAGAGACTCAGACACCAGCCCAGGATTTTCAACAAGATTATGCTCTGTGGCCACAGTTAAATTAAACTGTGATTATATGGCGCCTACAATAATAGTAAATAGCAAAGAATTTATTCGCCCGTTAGAAGTTATGATTGATACGGGATGCGAAATTAATTTAATGAAAGAAGGACTTGTGAAAGATGGTGTATATATTGATCGAAGTAAAATTTTGAAGCTAAGAGAGATTACGTCAAGTCATGTAGATACAACAGGAGAGATAGTATCTACCCTTGAAGAATTCCCAGTGGATTTTCAGTTGGTACCTGATAATTTTCCAATAGCCAGAGATGGAATTTTAGGGTCTGACTTTCTAAAAAGAAATAGTATTGATGTAATGTATTCAAATGCATGTTTAAGATGGGAAAATGGTCGTTTGCCTTTTCTACGTGAAGAAACAATAGTAGTTCCAGCGAGGACTCAACATGGATTCTATGTAAGGATAACGAATCCCGAGGTGAAGGTAGGTTACGTAAGAAGAATGGAAATAAAGCCAGGAATATACTTTGGAGAAGCTGTAGTTACAAATCGAGAAGGAAAGGGCTACATGTATATTTATAATACAAGAGATCAAGGAGTTGAAGTGGTAGTGCCAACAATTGAATTAGAGGGAATTGCTCACTATAGAAGAGAAGAAGAAGAACCACGATGTCACGCTAATGTAAGATTTATTAGTGCAGATAAAGAAGACAGAGTAGAGGAAATTATGAAGCTGATGAAACTGGGAGATCTGAATGCAGAAGAGTTGGATAGTGTCAGAGAACATCTAGAGAGACATTCGGATAGATATTACTTGCCAGGAGATAAGATTGGATGCACTGATGTGTTGGAACATAAGATCCCAACAACCGATGATATACCCATAAACACGAAGCAGTATCGTTATCCACCAATGTTGAAGGATGAAATAAACGCTCAGGTAGAGGATCTAATAAACAATGACATCGTAGGACCTTCTCACTCACCGTATAATACACCTTTATGGATAGTCCCAAAAAAGCCAGATGCCAACGGAAATAAAAGGTGGCGAATGGTCTTAGACTTCAGGGCACTTAACGAGAAAACAATAGGTGATGCTTTTCCAATACCACAAATCTGTGATATATTAGATCAAGTAGGAAGAGCACAATATGTTTCAATTTTTGATTTGGCAGCAGGATTTCACCAGATTAAAGTATGTGAAAAAGATAGACACAAAACTGCATTTTCTACAGCCTTGGGGCATTTTGAGTTCAAAAGAATGCCTTTTGGACTAAAAACGGCTACAGCAACTTTTCAACGGCTAATGCACAGTGTGTTGAGTGGATTGATAGGCGTGGTAGCA